CCCCAAAACCCCAAAACCCCGAACTGCCAAAATATCAGAGTATATAGTTGTAGAAATTTTGGTAAGGTAAATTATAAATTTGAAATAATGGGTCTTTTGAAAATCATCAAGAAAACTAAGGCTAAGGAAAAGGAGGTGCGTCTCCTTATTCTAGGTTTAGATAATGCTGGAAAGACTACTATCCTGAAGAAATTCTTAGGAGAGGACACATCAGAGATTGCACCAACTCTTGGCTTCTAAATCAAGACAATTGAACACAACAATTTCAAATTAAACATTTGGGATGTTGGCGGTCAGACAACAATCAGATCCTACTGGAGAAACTACTTCGAATAGACTGATGGTCTCATTTGGGTTGTTGATTCAGGAGACAAACTTAGATTAGAGGACTGCAAGGCTGAACTACAAAAGCTGCTCATGCAAGAGAAACTTGCCGGAGCAACATTACTCGTGTTCTGTAACAAACAGGATATTGCTGGAGCCTTGAATCCTAAGGAGATCAGAGACTTCTTAGAGGTCGATAAGATTGAGGGTAGACATTGGAGTATATTCCCATGCAGCGCAATGACAGGTGAGGGACTACTCGAAGGAATCGACTGGGTTGTGAATGATATTAAATCAAGAATATTCATGATGGAGTGAATGAGTTACTGATAAATCAATTTAAAAATAATTTAAGTGATTTTATTATGTGAAAAAACACCCTTATTAAGAATTACTTAATATTTATTATTACATAATTAATGAATTAGCCATCAAATTAATAACAGTACAGCAAAGACTGCTACAATTACTTCTAAATCTATCTCATGGTATTCTCAGTAAGTCTAGGAGCAGCTTATACCGGATATGAAAGTGGAATAGCATGTGGGATACTACTCTATATTGAAAAAGATTACCCTGATATAACTATTCAGCAAAAATCAAACTTCGTTAGCTTTTTAGTGTTTGGTGGTATATTTGGAGCATTTATTGCTGGAAGTGTTGCAGAGAAAATAGGCAGAAAGCTTACTATTATCATTTCAATCCTAGTTATGATTATCGCAAATGTAAACCTCGTAGTATTATAAGATATTGACTTGCTGGGCATTATGAAGATACTCTAAGGCTTAGGATGTGGAATCAACATGATGATTGGCTAAGTATATATTTCAGAGACAACACCTATGATAGCTCGAGGATCTGCCGTATTAAGCTATATTCTAATAATCTTCTTTGGCTTTATTCTAGCTCATGTTTCTAGTCTTATTAACGCATATAAAATCAAGCTTATATTATCCCTTGGCCTATTTCCTTCAATATTGTCTTTCCTGTTATTTATAACTACTTAGAAAGAATCTCCAACATACGTAGCTTAAAAAGGTACTCCAGAATAGGTCTTTACAATTCTTAGAAAATTCTACAATATCGGCCATTAAGATGGATAGAAAGCCCTTGAGGGATAGTATAACGAGATCACTGAATAGCTACTGTTGTCTAAAACTTCATCTGATAAATCTCTAGTTGAACTTTACAAAGAGCTATTTTCAAATTATGGATGGAATTTGTTCCTTGCATTTACTCTTCATTTCTTATAGAATCTTACTGGATTCAATCTTATCTAGAATTTTGGACCAGCTATACTTAAGGATGCAGGAATGGCAGGTGGTAGCAATGAAAGTTTACTCTATAGTATGCTTTACTTAACGTCGATAATTTTTGTGTTTACATTTATCGGAGTAAACTTATCCAATAAATATGGGAGAAGACAATTGATGTTAGTAACAACTATACCATTAGGATTCTCGCTAATTCTATTATGTGGAGCTCTAGGATTATCTATAATTACTGATGGGGAATCCAAATTCGCTGCATGGCTTTGCATCATCAGTTTATCATTATATCTAATGATCTTCTGTGTTGGATATGCATCAGTACCTTGGAGTGTTTAAACAGAGATTTTCCCAATGCATTTAAGAGGTATTGCAAATGCTATGTGTACAACCTCCAATTGGGTTTCCAATTGCCTACTTCTAATGGTATTTTTGCAAGTTACGAAGACTGAAACAGGAAAGATTATATCCTACTCAATATTAGCTTCAGCATGCTTCGTTTCTTTCTTTTTTGTTTACAGATTTTTACCAGAAACTAAAGATAAGCCTCTAGATGTCTGCGTCCGGTAAATAATCCTAGCAAGGAAATAAGGATGTAAAAACCTAGACGATACAAAGAGCTCTGGACTACTTAATTAAAAATTAGATGATCATATTTAACTTATACAAAAATCACCATCTTCAGCAGCAACTTTAAAGGAGAATGATAACCAGCTATGATTTTAATTAGATCATAGCATTAATCGCATCAAAATAATTTTCTATTAACAATTATCACATAAAAATAATATTCAGGCATAAGGGGTTTTGGGGTTTTGGGGTTTTGGGGAGATCGGAAGAGCACACGTCTGA